ATATATGAAGCAAAGTAATTTATTTAGTAAAGCATCATGATGAATCTATTCGATTATATGAAAATTAAAGTTATAGTAACTTATTACTAATAAGTTACTATAGTTTTAACTTTCATATAATTGAATAGATTTAGTATTTAATATATTAGTCATTTATTTACTTTTTTATTATGATAGTTCTATCCAAGTATCAAAATTGGATAATGAAAATTTAAATTTAAATTTACCAATACCACTTATTAATAAACTATTATCTGATAGTATTATTATTAATAGTAAACAATCATCAGATAGTGTTATTAACACATCCGAATCTCTTTTACCAATTCCAATACCAGAATCTGGTATGCCGTTTAAATCATGGATAGAACTTGATAAGTATATTGATGTCTATTGTAATTCTAAAAACTTTTCTAAAGTTATTTATAGGGCAGAATATGATAATAGAATAAGAAGGCATTGTTGTTACAGGTGTGAATATCAAGACAGTAATCAAGAAAAGAAGATAATGATTGTTAAAAAATAGCACAATACATGTTCTAAACATAGTAGATGTCCATGAGTCATAAATGCCATATGCCCAAAGAAAACTGATATTATTAATATTACCTCTCTGTACTTAAAACATGGAGAATATCCTTTAGATCCCTTTACCAAAAAATTTGTTCTTACTTATCGAATATTAACAGAGCCAATGTTGGCTAATATAGAATTCTGGACAACTAAAAGAAATCTTAGTATGTATACTTAATGTCAATTACTTAAAGCGAAATATGAAAATATATTTTTTTTATCCCAAGACCTATCAAATACTATTCAAAGAGTTAAAGCTGAACAAAATATTGATTGTGAAACTGCAACACTAATTAATTACCTTATTAAATATAAAGCCAAAGATATTTGATAGACTATAAATTGGTATGTGGATCTAACAACAAACTCTTTAGTATTACTATTTTTTTTTTTTTTTGTTGTTTAAGGTGATCTCTATGGCCGGGGGGCTTTTTATTAGATAATTAACAACGTTACAATTATGATGAGGGTACAACTAGCCACACGTAC